ATTTATGTATCGTTGTCATTTTGCTTAGTTTCTTCTGTTACCTATTCTGACATCGGACTCGGACTTCTTTTATTTTGAGTTTTACTGTGCGTATTGCTGTGTGTTTGTTTATTCTACATTGGCTAGAGGTATAGGTGAGGGTTGAGATCTCACGAAACATGTGTAACACCACCGCAGTTTTGCCCCTGTGCCAAGTCAGGAGCCTCTGGTCTTTGATAGTCTTGTATGTTTTTTAATTGTAGTAGTTCTAATATATGTTTCGGAGTCTAGTGTGACGTCAGTTTTCACTGAACGAGAACACATTTTTGTTAAGGGTCCAACTGAATCCCGCCTCCGGTTGCGGGATTTTCTCGCTGTGTTCAAGACTAATTGGTATATCGCCATGTTATCGAATTCAAATGGGGACTAACTGTGCACTACTTATTGCGGACATGTTTCTGTGTTGTTATGAGTTACAATTTATGACTTAAATCAGCAAAGACCCACTGAAACAACATCTGATACAAAAATTTAATAACACTTTTAGATATTTGGATGATATATTGGCTCTCAATAATGACGACTTCAGTACGACACTAAAGAGATTTATTCTGCTGAACAGAATATAAATAAAGCTAATACTGACAATCAACACTGCCTTATCCTGGATCTTGAAATCTATATCTTTAACGGGAAACTTAATACCAAAATTTACGATAAAAGAGATGATTTTTCATTCCTATTGTTAATTATCCCTTTTTAGATGGTGACGTTCCCTTGTCACCATCTTATGGTGTTTATATATCTCAACTTGTTCGATTCGCTCGTCTATGTAACAATGTATTTGATTTTAACGAAAAACATCTTTGTATTACTGAAAAATTATTACACCAGGGTTTTCGATACCACAAACTAGTCAAAACATTTACTAAATTTTATCATCGGTACAAGGACTTCATTGAATTTCGTAAATATAAATCAACATGCAGACATCTAATACTTTCAGGTATTTAACATCCAATCTTTTATGGTAATATTCTTTACAAAGCAAAACAATGTCGTAATTCACCTCAAAAGCTAACCAAACCTTTAAACAGACTTATTCAGAAGGGATATAGTTACGATACTGTTGTCAGGTCATTAAAGATGGCATATTTTGGAATTAATATTGATTCACTCGGATATTTCTTTTTTTTTATTTCGTTTCTAAATGCATTGAACGTCTTATACCAGAGTGTAAAATTGTATTTCTGATGTTACTGTGAGGTCACAAATAGTGAACAAGAGTATTACTTTATACTTTTTGAATTTCTAATTCCAGGGTCCAAACAGTCATTGTCATATCTTTAAAATACATTTGCTTGAAAGGTGATGACTCATTCTGTTAAAAGCTAAATACTATCCATACATCACAGTAAAGATCTGCCTAAATTCCATTCAGTTGATAAATTTGATAACACTTACGTTACCTTGATGTTTTTGATTTAAATTATCAAGAACATCTTGTAAATTTTAATCAAGAGAACTTACTTTAAATAATTCTAATATTAACAACAATAATTTTCCTTTTCAAGATTTATATATTTCAGTTCCACACGGTAGGCTTTATTATATAATTTACAAAAAAAAAAGACGAATTTTACATTTCCTATTGTAAATTTTCTTTTTTGACGGTGATATTCCTTTGGTCCCATCACACGGTGTTTATGTATCCCAAGTCGGTCGCAATACCCGTGTCTGTAGTGACTTTTATACGATTTTAATGATAGTAATTAACGTGTAACTGATTAATACTTAAAGTCAGGGATTTAGTTACCATAAGTTACAAAAGACTTTAGTATACTATTTTTTTTTTCATATTTACAAATATTTGGTTTTATAATTAGTTGTACTGTGAAAATATTTTTCAGAACGGTATATCACATATTTACAGTAATATTGTCTATAAAGTCCGTACATTTATATACGATATATGTTAACTCATTGGTCCTTTCGTATTCTAAAACGATATCTCTTCAACAGGGTAGTAAGTTCTTTGAAAAGTGTTTTTACGGTAATTTTATTGAACAAATTATCCTCTGATGAAGAAAAAAAATCAGCACTTCGGACAGAGGAATTTAAAGTGTTAATTTCATTTACTAGCACTGGGTCGATATTGCTGCTCTTGTAATATTAGTTACTTTGGCTATCATGCATATCATATCATAAAAAATATTAAGAAACCAAAGTTCAATCTCCCGTAAGCCAAATTGACCTAAGATCAATTTGACTATTTTGCTTATGTTCGTTTTGGTCAAATCGCTCCTAAAGTTGCAACGGATTTACGCATTCACAGCTTTCAAATGTTTAGGTTTGAGCGTTCTGATGAAAATAAACCATGAAAACGCTTTGGACGAACGAAATTTATAAAGTGTTTATTTCTCATTTAAGCATAGCTAAATATGTATTGCTATACAGTTATGAAAACTTATTGTCTATCATCCTGTCGGTATTATGTATCTAGATATTGCAATGGCACAAGGACATGCTTTTCTCAAACGGTTTATGAAGTTTTTTACACAAAATCAATTGGATGTGTACTGATTGATATTTTAGTCTGTGAGAACATTATTTATTTATGAGCTTCGAACTAGCTTTCAGTTACTGCGAGTACTCTAATATCGGTATTTTTGTCAATTGTCTATATGTCAGTTATATTTTGTGCTTCGCTTAAATATGATAGCCAAGCAATTACCATTTTGACTTTCTTAGTTTGTTCTTATGATATGCTGCTACACCACTGACTAAAGGAAAGGGTTGAGCGTTCACAAACATGTTTAATCCCACCATATTCTTGACGTCTTACGTTCAGTCGTTGTCTTCGTTTGAAATATTTTGTATATTGTCATGTCCAGCTTATTATATCTGACTACACGGTATGGATTTCGCTCATTGTTGAAGTTCGAACGATGAGCTTTAGTTGCTTAAATCCATTTCATTTGGACTGTGTTGGATAGATTTGGCATCACCAATCATTTCACATCTCCTTTTTTTCACAAATTTAACGTATTTAACTTTGCCTTAATTTACAAACGTTCATAGTTTTAAAAGATACAATTTATGCATCTAGAAGAAACCAAAATAATAAACTGATGAATTCTGGCAGGTCAAACTCTGAAAAAAGCAATCATAGGTGTTATTGTCCAAACATAAAATGAAACTAAATGTATCAATTGATATTATCTTTCAAATTGGAGGAAATGATAGGAGTTGGTACGTGGAATTGAAGGTAAAGGATAAAAAAGATGAAAACTATAAATTGATTGAAAGCTTTGAACTTGTTTAAAACTATGTACACAAGTCAAAGCTTCAACAGAAACAAATAAATTTCTACTTTAATGAGGACCTTCGCTTCAATTTCAGAGAAACACAAATCTACATCAAAAATATAAATGATATGATAGTACATTTTCTTATTGGAATTTTATCAAACTTTGGTTAGCTTAGCAATAAAATTGATAAATATATATAGTTAAAGTACTCATTAAAAATACCAGACATATAATATGGTAAAATTTGGTACGCCATACGCGCGTTTCGTCTACATGAGTCTCATCACTGACATTCGAATCAAAACATTTAAAAATGAAGCAAATATTACAAAAAATTGTGCCAAATACCGCTACGGATATCTGTTCATTTATATACGCAGGAAAAGGTGTACATTGGAACACCAGTATGAAAAAAAGAAATAGTAAATACAAGTTTCAATAAATATTTTGGATATCCTTCATCAAAATGATGTAAAATGAATCTTATCAATTTATTCTGATATTACTAAAAAAAAATTTGAACGTTATGCAATATAAAAACCGAACCACGCTTGCATAATTCAAGAACTTCAAAGTTCACGCAAATCTAATATGTAAAAAACCCAAAGAGACGGTGTATTTATTCATCTCAAAAGAAAATAACACATCCAGCTGTAGTGGTTAACACTGCGCGATTTGAACTACGCCTTTTCATTAATCCCATTTGGTGCCAACGATTTAATTATATTAAACAAATTCTTTGCCGAGTGATTCTCTCCTTCTTAGACCAAGAAGTGCTGTGGTCAATGATGATAATAGTTAGTCGGTGGAGACATGCCTTAGTGTGGTCAGGGGATCTCAAATGTTTACTGAGAGAAAGGTCCGGCTTACTTTCATAGTAACTAAGTTGAGTGAAACATTTTGTCTTTGTCGTGAATTCCTTTTCATTTATGTCAAAGGGTTTAATACTAAAAAATACAGATGAGGTTATTAACAATCAAGCTTAAAGACAGGCATACAATACCATGACCAACAGAAATGAACAAAAATACTATTAACGGTAGACAAAACACTGTAAAAAGAAAACAATGAGTAAACACGAGCCCCATGAAAAACCAGCATTTAACAAGAAAAATGGTCAGTTCCTGCTCCACTAGTGACACTAGTTGCATAATTATTGTTAAAAGTCATAAGACGTTACCTCAATTCTTAACCATAAGTAGATGTTAATTTCATAACATTACCATAACGGAAAATGCCAAGAAAATAGGACCAGTAGATCAAGATAAGAGACAAAAGAGCATTACAGTCATAAACAAAACAGACAATAATAATTAAAACATTACAAAATACAACATAGAAAACTAAAGATAACAGTCCAGTTAAAAAAAAACCTCAAATGCTCCAGAAAGGATACATGTAAGCAGAGCATATTTAACTCATGTTACACTATGTTTTGCTTATGACAAAACAACAATCTTTAATCATGTTCTAGCTAACATATGAAATGACTTCAACTCATAGTGAGCATTATCGGTAGCAAGATATACAATAATCAAAATTTCAATATACTGAAATTATTATTGATGTACTTCGTTTTTAGATTCAAGATGATAATAATTTTCTACCGTAAACAGAAACTTGTCATGTGTATATAAGACAATATCACAAGAACAGTTTGCTGAAAAAGGCCGGCTGTTTCCCTTGATTTTGTCCGGTTTAAATATTTACCTTTTTTGATATAAACCTGCGTCTGCAAATAAATAAACTAGTATAAGCCGTGTTGTGTCATAAAATTCGAAAAATTAAAGCAATATTAGGAAAATATGCATGTAATAAATAGTTAAACTCATCAAGACATAACATATGACTTTGTTACTTAATATGCCTTTCCAGATTTTTCAATAGCATGTACACATGGTACACTCGTTTCAAAGTCTTGTAACCTATTTCCTTTGATATAGTGTACATTACAAATATAGCAATCTTGGAAAATATGTTTAAATATTTATTTGAGCGCTAGGTTATATATTTTATTTTCTACGGAAAATGACTGTTTCAAGTCAGGAATATGAGAGTTGTTTTTTTCTCTCACTCGTTCCGTTTGTCAGTTTTTATGGACTTCCCCTTTTTTAAATTACCTTGGAGTTCTGTATTTTTGTTATTCTTTTATATATGAAGCTAGAAGACACTTATACAAACTCTAATACAAGAAATGGTACCATGTCAATCGTTTGTTTTATGCAGATAAGTCTTTGTAAACTATGAATTAACATTTTAAGAATTAATCTCCATTTAATATAGTCAGGAGTCTATTATCGAGTGGTTGACATTGGTTACTATCCGACATTCTCATTACGTCATACCGAGGCCTTTTTGTTATATGTGTCGCATCAATCACCGCAGACATCAATCAATTAATTGGTTAGGAAAAGTAAATTATCTTATAAATCTTTTAATTACAATTCCCCGAAAAGAGCTCTCGAAAGATCCTTGTATTTTTGTTTAAAAAAAAAAAAAAAATTTGTAATCGTTTATTTTACCTGCTATACTGCATGAACAATAAAACTTACTTGTAAACTATTTATGTCTCCACCATTATTTTCACGATTATAACAGCAGCAACACCTCATTCTATCGCGCCCGCTTAAGACGACTCTTCCGACAGCAATTTAGATTTAACTTAAACAATAAAACAAGCATATATTTTCTAATGCATTCACACAAACAAAAAAGCTTATCGGTACAACATACCATTTATGAATGAAATGTATAAATACAACACGGTGGTATATGATATAGTAAAACCAGTAGAGAATGTAATAAGTGCTAAAAACCGTTACATATTTGAAAAAAAAGATGTTTTAATGTCAACTAAAGAATATAACACTTCTTAAGAAATCCTTAACTACATGTATACCAAAATGAACATCTTTTTTGCTAAAATTATTTTTTTTTATCCCACATGGATGAACTCAGTTGCTCTTAAAAAATCCTGTTCCACTAGTTATACCCAACATGGTAATCCGTATTTCGTATGAGTCCTATATCCATTGATTAGCTACTACACAATAGCGAATTTGTAACTGTCTCTTACACAACGTTATGATAATAATTTATCATAAACCCTTGGTCACGTTCATTATCTAACACCAATCTAGACCATACGTAAAAATTTATATGAAAATACGAATTTTGAAGACAAGGGATAGGTGAGACTATGAGAATAACACATATATTGAAACATAAAATAAGAAAAACAACCATAAACAACACTGAAACTAAAGCAAAAGTAACAGGAAACCCTTCAAAACAAATTCATGTGCTTCGGATGGTAAGCATGATTAATCACCTTGAGGTACTGTTGTGTTACTCAGTGCAATTCCAAATTCGGTAATTCGTCGCATTCAGTGACTTAATAATTGAGACAAAACATGCCAGAATTATAATAACCAAACGTTTAATACATTCATGGTCATCTCTGATACAGATATTTTGTAAAAGTAAGCTTAATCAAGAATAGAAAACATACTTATCAATCTCAAAATCATATTAGAAAATGATTGATTGATTGTTGGTTTCTTAACGTTCAGTGGCAAATTTGTCATGCATGTTCAAGACGAGAACAAATAAACAATAAATACAACAGGTACGTCTTGCAATAGTGGTCGTCCGGGTTAAAGAACGGGAAATTTTTGACTGCCATTGGGAAATTAGGGTATATTGAATAGGGACAGAAAATTAGCCTTGCAACAGGCCACATACAGACCCATCAAAAAATTGTTGCAAGGTTCTCAACGTGCACAGAGCATGGCACTCTCTTTACCCGAGGCATCGGATTTAACGTCCCCATCCTGACTGGACGTGGCTGCGTGACCATATTTCTATTCTCTAATCACCCGTGGGTGTCACATTAGAAATAGTCAAAGTATATATACATTGGCAACTTTAATGACGGTTAGCTGGCATCCGCTTTGACTGTTAGCTAGCATCCTCTGTGACTGTTACCTATACCTTTCTCTCAGTTGATATTTCTTAATTACATTGATGAAAATTTCTTCCACTATCACTAGCATTGACCTAAACAAGGCTTGGTTCAGTGAAGTAAAAAAATTCTCGAAACATTTGCAAGATAATGAGTACACAGCTTGCAAAGTACAAAAGGAAGACGTTGAAGATGTTCTCGGTGTATAACACGGCAGAATGTATGTCAAACAAATATTATTTGAAGGTTAACCACTTCAAAATAAATTTTCTAACCTTCATCGCCTGCTTCACCACGCCATCCCTTTGCACAACCTCCAGAACAATTTCCTGTAAATACACTACAAGTTCCAGTCGCACAATTACACAACCTTGTGCAGTTGTTACCGAAATATCCGTCGTCACCGGCTAGAAAAATAAGAAATATCGTTTAGTGTATTCATGAAACAAAAGATATTCTTTATTGTTAAAAAATAAATGAAGAATGTAATTTCAGGAGCACATGTCATACATTGTCATAAGCATTGAATTTATTCTAAAACTAACGTAATTCCTGATTAAACAGAATATTATTAATGGGACTTTCTGATCACAGAAAAAGCAAGAAAAGGAAGAATATCTTGATAATAATCAAGTACGACTGTTAAAAGCGATTATCGAAGAAGTACGTTCCTTACATTTGGTTTGTATCACTGCATTCTATAACTGAAAAGATTATTATACATAATCGTATTCTCTCTTTAAGTCTATTGATAGTTATGATAGTCATGTAGAAAATATTTTGCCATCAGGAGTACAATTTTAAGATATGCACTTTACTTTTAAGATTAGTTTGCGTGGTTAGTTTGTGTTTAAAGACACAGGCGTTATAATCATATATTGTTAAGGGACTTCTGAATGACTTCAAAAAATTTGGAAAACAACTTTAAGCAAAATGAAAACGGGACCATATTGCAATCACTATTTGAATGTCAAATAAACTTAACCGTTTGATTGCTTTGAGCCCACGTAGACAAGCATACATTTTAATAATACTAGCTTGAATATGTATATGTATAAAAAAATAGATTGTTAAATAAAAGCATGCACCATATATAGACAGACAGATGTGTTATCACATAATCCATTAACAGGATCACACATGCCTAGTAAACATCCCTCACAAAACTGAGAACAGTTTTTCCAAAAATGGCTATAACGGCACTCTGAAAAAAAAAGCGTAAACGAATTTAACATCAGTATTATATAAGTATCGAAAAAAAGAATATTTGTTCAAGCTTTCAAACATTTTCCTGCATTTCATTACAAAACATTAATGTTCATTCACATCATATTCTAAAAAATAAATTAGACATAGTTAATTACTTCTTACTTATTAATTACAACATTCTATTTAAATTATTTCTACTGCTTTATTGAATTTCAACGATCATTTAATCAAATTTTAAAGGACATTTTACCGAATAATAAGTAAAACTGAACAATTAATATTTTAAAGGAGAAGGTTGAGAAAGGTTTAACTTAGGGCGACAGTAGTTAACTGATGTTCAAATCTCGTAAATCGACAAATAAAAGACTAATCAAGGTAACAAACAAAAAACTGAAGGAAAAGGAGCGAGATCGGACGCGTCGACAGGATAATCATTATAATTGCCATAATATTTTTATATTTTCTTGAAACTGGCCAAATCATTACATATGTAACACAGAAATAGTTGTGATATAACTTGTAATACAAAATAACTTCTTATTGGCATATATTAAATATGCATTATTTGTATCGTAACGTCAGTTTTGGTCCAATTTCTCAAAATATATCACTTTTTTCTGCATTGATTTATTTGGCACCGATCAATTCTCCGAAAAAGTGTTGTCTAGATATTCAATATAAACATTGGCACCTTTTGGTCACAGACGATTTTGGATCGTAAATTTTGGCGAAGGTTTCTTAAGCTTTTGGTAAAACAATTACACAATATGTTGCCTTTAGAGCGGAAATTTTACTCGCATGAATAGATTTTTACTTGGCATTAAGGCTTTTATAACGTAATAAGTCTAATTCGGTAGGTCACATTCGGGAAAAGGGTACGGGATTGTAGTTACAACATTATGAACATATCCGTTATCATCTGTGAAACGGATATTCCATAACGGTCAACCAACTCGTGATGGCTTCAACTTTACCACTTTGAACTCTTGATTTAATAGCTTCCTTGTGAGCTGCAACCCTCTATCAAGGAAATTATGATAGGAAATACAAGCCCTGGAATATCTTATCAAACTGAGAGATATATGTAGGACTCAAATCTATGGTGGGTTCCAGATCTATGGCAGATTCTTCATCCATGGTAAATATGGCGTCGTGCCATCCCCAATCTATGGCAGATTTTTTAGAATCCTAATCTATGGCAGATTTTTAATTTCCTAATCTATGGTGAATTTCTAGTTTTCAAATCTATGGCAGATTTTCTGCAAATGAATTAAGGACCAGTCAGTACATATCTGACCAAAAATTTCAAAGTTGAAATGTCCAAAGATAGCAGAAAATCTGCGTTTAGCGAAAGCCACCGTACGGACTTCAACAATGAGAAAAACCCATACCGTGTGGTTGGCTATAAAAGCCCCCAACAAGTCCATTGACAACGCAAAAAGCAGTTTGACTTTTTACCATATATTTATTTGAGCGTAAATAAATCTTTTTTAACTGATGAGGATTAAAGTCAAAGTCCAATAATAAACAATGACTTGCTTCAAACACGTGGCTTTATTAAAAATCCTTATTTCTCCAAAATTACAGTTATTCGACATACATATAGCTGAAATAATGTAAATAGATATTAGAAATCTATGACAGATTCTTTTTAGTTTTCAAATCTCAATAAAACTTATTTGCAACAATAGTACAGGAAGTCGCTATTATATAGCTGACAAAATACTAATGGTTAAAACCAAAATGCAGAGTAAAAACTCGTACAATTGAGGGAGAGGACAATACCAGGAACGCGAGAACAAGAAAATCAAAGAGCGGAAACAAACACGAAACATGAACATCGAAAACACAAAAAAAATATTCACTTGCGTGAAATTGCCTGCACTAGCGATTTTCCTGTTACAGATGACTATGGATTTGTTCGCTAGTATTCTTATTTCATCCGAATGAGATGATTACATCTTCCTATTTGCAGAGATTTTCGTAAACATAAACTCAAATTCTGAAACATCATTTAATCTATGGATTAGGGTCCTTGAAAACTGGCGTTTTCTTTTCCTTCTATATTACTAGACCGTTTATATGACGTTATTTAATTGTGACATTATGATTTACTCTTTTCCCCGGATTAAGTAATATCAAAATCTGCCATAGATTTGGAGAAAACAAAAAACTGCCACAGATTTATGATTTGTTTGGCGTTTGTGACATCATATTTACCATAGATTAGGAATTTACCATAGATCTGGAACCCACCATAGATTTGAGTCCTACATATATACTCCTTATGCAGGCGTTTTATAAATAGTCGTGGCCATGAACCAATCCCAGCAAAACTTACTAATAGCATTGTCTATACGAGATTTTATTTCTTGTCTGTATCGAGTTTCTATAATGATTTTCCATGTATCGCTGTGTATACTTTATATGCAATTTCATATGCATTTAAATGTTTGTCTTCAATTACATGGTTATTCTGTTATTGCTCTTTTATGCATGATTTGGTGATTCATATATATAGCATGTTTCGCTTATATATATTTACTTTAAATTATATATATTATCTTTTACTGTAAAAACCTGATTTGACCTTTTCTCGGTAGATTGTTCTGTGGTTAATTTTAAACTTTTACACATCTATTTATTTGAAAGGATTTTCCCAACGTAAATGATCTGTGGTAATCAACTGGTCGTTTATGAATTTCTTTAATTTGATTATGTCCGGTTTAAATATTTACCTTTGTTGATATAAACCTGCGTCTTCAAATAAATAAACTCGTATAAGCCGTGTTGTGTCATAAAATTCGAAAAATTAAAGCAATATTAGGAAAATATGCATGTAATAAATAGTTAAACTCAACAAGACATAACATATGACTTTGTTACTTAATATGCCTTTCCAGATTGTTCAATAACATGTACACTCGTTTCAAAGTCTTGTAACCTATTTCCTTTGATATAGTGTACATTACAAATATAGCAATCTTGGAAAATATGTTTAAATATTTATTTGAGCGCTAGGTTATATATTTTATTTTCTACGGAAAATGACTGTTTCAAGTCAGGAATATGAGATTTGTTTTTTTTTTTCACTCGTTCCGTTTGTCAGTTTTTATGGACTTCCCCTTTTTTAATTTACCTTGGAGTTCTGTATTTTTGTTATTCTTTTATATATGAAGCTAGAAGACACTTATACAAACTCTAATACAAGAAATGGTACCATGTCAATCGTTTGTTTTATGCAGATAAGTCTTTGTAAACTATGAATTAACATTTTAAGAATTAATCTCCATTTAATATAGTCAGGAGTCTATTATCGAGTGGTTGACATTGGTTACTATCCGACATTCTCATTACGTCATACCGAGGCCTTTTTGTTATATGTGTAGCATCAATCACTGCAGACATCAATCAATCAATTGGTTAGGAAAAGTAAATTATCTTATAAATCTTTTAATTACAATTCCCCGAAAAGAGCTCTCGAAAGATCCTTGTATTTTTGTTTAAAAAAAAAAAAATTTGTAATCGTTTATTTTACCTGCTATACTGCATGAACAATAAAACTTACTTGTAAACTATCAATGTCTCCACCATTATTATCACGATTATAACAGCAGCAACACCTCATCCTATCGCGCCCGCTTAAGACGACTCTTCCGACAGCAATTTAGATTTAACTTAAACAATAAAACAAGCATATATTTTCTAATGCATTCACACAAACAAAAAAGCTTATCGGTACAATATACCATTTATGAATGAAATGTATAAATACAACACGGTGGTATATGATATAGTAAAACCAGTAGAGAATGTAATAAGTGCTAAAAACCGGTACATATTTGAAAAAAAAGATGTTTTAATGTCAACTAAAGAATATAACACCTCTTAAGAAATCCTTAACTACATGTATACCAAAATGAACATCTTTTTTGCTAAAATGATTTTTTTTTATCCCACATGGATGAACTCAGTTGCTCTTAAAAAATCCTGTTCCACTAGTTATACCCAACATGGTAATCCGTATTTCGTATGAGTCCTATATCCATTGATTAGCTACTACACAATAGCGAATTTGTAACTGTCTCTTACACAACGTTATGATAATAATTTATCATACTACCTTATGTCATCACTATATCAGTCTTAAACATACATGAAATATTTGCCACTGGATGCTTAGCAACCAACAATCTTAAATTTATCGCTGTATCACGTCAAACCTTAGAAGGTAGCATGTTAACTAACTACAAACTAATATGATTGTCAATGAACTATGGAAGTTATTCTATTATACTAGCAAACAACCTTATGTCATCACTATATCATAGTCCTAAACATACATGGAATATTTGCCACTGGATGCTAAGCAACCAACAATCTTTAATCTATCGCTGTATCATGCCAAACCTTAGAAGGTAGCATGGAAACCTACTACAAACTAATATGATTGTCAATGAACTATGGAAGTTGTACTATTATACTAGCAAACAACCTTATGTCATCACTATATCATAGTCCTAAACATACATGAAATATTTGCCACTGGATGCTAAGCAACCAAAAATCGTTAATTTATCGCTGTATCATGTCAAACCTTAGAAGGTAGCATGGAAACTAACTACAACTAATATGATTGTCAACGAACTATGGAAGTTATACTATTATACTAGTAAACAACCTTATGTCATCACTATATCACAGTCCTAAACATACATGAAATATTGGCAACAGGACGTTAGGCAACTAATATCGATAATAATTATTATGTCAAGCCGTTGAAGGTTACATGGAAACTAATAACAAATAAATATGATTGTCAATGAACAACGAAAGTTATACTGTTGTACTAGCAACAGATCGTTGGCGTTTCAATGGGCAGAGTTGCCTCCCTGGAAATATCTGATATTGCTATATTTAACCATAATTATAGACATAAAACAGAGAAATATCCTACGAAAATAATATTAAATTCCACTACAGAATGAGAATTGCTGGATTTAATATATTTAATGAAGAAGGTGAACAAAGTGAACAATTATTTGAAATAGTACATTGTTTTCATTCCTTCTGAAGGTACGAGAATTCTTAGAAACAATAGCAACATGTACTTATAAGATAATCGTTTAAATACGGTCTAAAGTGTAAATGTCTTGCAGATTTCTCCCTAACAAAACAGTTAGGCTAAGTTAGCATAGATGCAGACAGCAACTTCGAAAGAAACCAAATATTAGAAAACAAGTGGCAGAAATATCTTGAATATCTTAACACGGTAATAACAAAATATGGTATATAATTCGGAAAGATCCGATTGCCAAAATAATAAATAAAAAAACTATCTAAATCCAAACCTGATATTGGTTTAAAAAACAATAAGAATATTGGCAACATGATTATTAATCATTAAGCCGAAGACATTGATTCACAATACCCCACCACGGGAGGCTTTAGTATACAATCATTATACTGTGAAACAGATGTAAAAAGACGTGATGCCGATTTATTTCAAGAGATCACGTACAAGGTAAAACTGAATGGTTCCTGTTATATTCATGCATAGAACCGACATGGTATCTACACAAACCTCTTCAATTGTTAAACATGGAGACATTTGTATATTATCAAATAGGTGTTAAAACATACACGACAGTCTAGTGTGAATTCAACAGTATAGCACTGATAACTACTATCTCTATTAGATCTCGTGTAGATTTATGATAGATTAGATTACGAGAATAAAGACAATAAGTCTTTTCATTATATATATGAATAATTAACCAAAGGTGCTGATCTACTTGGTCAGTTTCTTTAGTCTGTAAAAAGACTAGCTACAACGTAGACCTATATGCACGTGTAGTAAATTTGAAAAAAAAACTGTTATGAAACAGACACACATCTATCTACAATACTAGATATAAAATAAATATATAAAGGTCGGCCTCTGATGAGGGTTTACCTGGGATTATTCCCGAAAGAACCCGAAACATTGCATATTAAATTCTAAAGAATTAAGCAATAAAAAGTACGTAGTGTCAGGTCAGAAATATTGATACCATACCATGAATAAGTGGGTTTATGGTCTTTTTATAAAACAATCACATTCATTATCTAACACCAATCTAGACCATACGTAAAAATTTATATGAAAATACGAATTTTGAAGACAAAGGATAGGTGAGACTATGCGAATAACACATATATTGAAACATAAAATAAGAAAAAACAACCATAAACAACACTGAAACTAAAGCTAAGGTAACAGGAAACCCTTCAAAACAAATTCATATGCTTCGGATGGGTAAGCATGATTAATCACCTTGAGGCACTGTTGTGTTACTCAGTGCAATTCCAAATTCGATAATTCGTCGCATTTAGTGACTTAATAATTGAGACAAAACATGCCAGAATTATAATAACCAAACGTTTAATACATTCATGGTCATCTTTAATACAGATATTCTGTAAAAGTCAGCTAAATCAAGAATAGAAAACATACTTATCAATCTCAAAATCATATTAGAAAATGATTGATTGATTGTTGGTTTCTTAACGTTCAGTGGCAAATTTGTCATGCATGTTCAAGACGAGAACAAATTAAAAATAAATACAACAGGGAGGTCTTGCAATAGTGGCCGTCCGGGTTAAAGAACGGGCAAATTTTGACTACCACTGGGAAATGAGGGTATATTGAATAGGGACAGAAAATCAGCATTTCAACAGGCCACCTACAGACCCCTCAAAGGGTTGTTGCAAGGTTCTCAACGTGCAAAGAGCGTGGCACTCTCTTTACCTGAGGCATCGTATTTAACGTCCCCATCCTGACCGGACGTGGCTGCGTGACCATATTTCTATTCTCTAATCACACTAGGGGGTTATATTAGAAATAGTCAAAGTATATATACATTGGCAACTTTAATGACGGTAAGCTGGCATCCGCTTTGATTGTTAGCTAGCATCCTTTGTGACTGTAATCTATACCTTTCTCTCAGTTGATATTTCTTAATTACATTGATGAAAATTTCTTCCACTATCACTATCATTCACACAAACAAGGCTTGGTTCAGTGAAGTAAAAAAGTTCTCGTAAGTGATATTTAAACATTTGCACGATAATGAGTACACAGCTTGCGAAGTACAAAAGGAAGACGTGTATAACACGATGGCATGTATGTCAAACAAATATTATTTGAAGGTTAACCACTTCAAAATAAATTTTCTAACCTTCATCGCATGCTTCGCCACGCCATCCCTTTGCACAACCTCTAGGACAGTTTCCTGTAAATGCGCTACAATTTCCAGTTGCACAATTACACAACCTTGTGCAGTTGTACCGAAATATCCGTCGTCACAGGCTAGAAAAATAAGAAATATCGTTTAGTGTATTGATTAAACAATAGATATTCTTTATTGTTAAAAATGTGCATCTGTCCTTGTTATACTAATGTTCTGTATTGTTCACAAAATGCATTTGCTCTTTACATTATTTAATGTAAATGAAGAAGGTAATTTCATGAGCACATGTCATACATTGTCATAAGCATTGAATTCATTCTAAAATTAACGTAATTCCTGATGAAACAGAATGTTATTAATGGGACTTTCTGATCACAGAAAAAGCAAAAAAAGGAAGAATATCTTGAAAATAATCAAGCAAGACTGTTAAAAGCGATCACCAGATATACCTTCCTTTACATTTGGTTTTTATCACTGCATTCTATAACTGAAAAAATTATTATACATAATTGTATTCTCCCTTTAAGTCTATTGATAGTTATGATAGTCATGTAGAAAATATTTTGTCATCAGGAGTGCAGTTTTAAAATATGCACTTTACTTTTAAGATTATTTTGCGTGGTTAGTTTGTGTTTAAAGGCACAGGCGTTATAATCATATATGGTTAAGTGACTTCTGAATGACATCAAAAAATTTGGAAAACAACTTTTTACAAAATGAAAACGGGACCATATTGCAATCACTATTTGAATGTCAAATAAACTTAACCGTTTGATTGTTTTAAGCCCACGTAACCAATCATACATTTTAATGATACTCGCTTGAATATGTATATATATAAAGTAATAGTTTATTACATAAAAGGTTTATTTTCATAAAAACAATGTAGGCCTGGTATCATAAATGAGAGATTTTTTTCTTTTCTTTTGTACAAATGTGGAACTGTCTCATTGAAGTTGATCTGATAAGTCATTTGTTTATGAAATCTTTTTTAAGTATACCAAATATAACGTACTTTTGTTGCAGTATGCACCATATATATAACCAAGGCTACAGACAGATGTGTTATCACATAATCCATTAGCACGATCACATATGCCTAGTAAACACACCTCACAAAACTGAGAACAGTTTTTCCCAAATTGGCCATAATGGCACTCTGAAAAAAAAGCGTAAACAAATTCAACATCAATATTATATAAGTATCGAAAAAAGAATATGTGTCCAAGCTTTCAAACATTTTCCTACATTTCATTACAAAATATCAATGTTCATTCACATCATATTCTTAACAATAAACTAATCATAATTTTATTACTTCTTACTTATTAATTACAACATTCTATTGAAATTATTTATACTGCTTTATTGAATTACAACGATCATTTAATCAAATTGTTAAAGGACATTTTACCGAATAATAAGTAAAACTGAAAAATTAATATTTCAAAGGAGAAGGTTCAGAAAGGGTTAACTTAGGGCGACAGTAGTTAACTGATGTTCAAATCTCGTAAATCGACAAATAAAAGACAAATCAAGGTAACAAACAAAAAACTGAAGGAATAGGAGCGAGGCTTGATGCGTAGACAGGATAATTATTGAAATTGGCCATAATAGTTTTATATTTTCATCAAACTGGCCGAATCATTACATATTTAACACAGAAATAGTTGTGATATAACTTGTAATACAAAATAACTTCTCGTAGGCATACATTAAATATGCATTATTTGTGTCGTAACGTCAGTTTTGGTCCAATTTTTCAAAATAGATCACTTTTTTCTGCATTGATTACTTTGACACCAACCAATTCTCCGAAAAAGTGTTGTCTAGATATTTAATATGAACACTGGCACATTTTGGTCACAGACGATTTTGGATCGTAAGTTGTGGCGAAGGTTTTCTGAAGCTTTTTGGTAAAACAATTGCACAATATGCTGCCTTTAGAGCATATATTTTACTCGTATGAATAGATTTTTACTTGGCATTAAGGCTTTTGAAAAAGAACCTACGGGAATCAACATGTGATTTTTGGATAGTTTATTATAAAATTGAAATTCAAATTTAAAGCAAAATTAGGTTAATAGTGAACCAGGTCGTTTTGTAACAATTCCAAATTAAACTCTGAAAATTAAAATAAGTGTACTTTAATTCTAAATACAACGACGTTTTCTTTGTAAATAATAATAATAAAAAAATAGATAGATCGTTAATGAAAAAAAAAATCAAACTTTCAAAACAATAGAATCCCTGCCATCCATCATTGCAGTCACCATTGCATCCTCCAGTCACGTGATTACATGGTGAAATAATACAATTTGTTGAACATTTCTCAAGACAATCTTTTCCATGAACACCATATTGACATGCTGTAAGATAAAAATTTCGATTGAAAATAAGTACGTAGACATGCATACTTATAACAAATTCTAAAATATATTTCAACCAACAAAAAAAAAAAAATAACCCAACATTAACAACTAACAACAAACAGTTAATTCACGGCTTTTTCAAATGAAAAATGAACATACGCACGACTGAATAATTTATAAAAGGTTATTGGCATATTCATGGAACAATCTATATAAAGATAAAATGGGGACTTCAGTTTGAAAACCCACACATTAAAAGTCATTAAATATTAGAAAAATTAGTGTGAGCAGCAAACATTGAAGAGTGAACACAGAAGAGATGGATTGAATGATAATCTGTATTCTGCATGTTATCCTACTCTTGCAGATTTTAAAACAATGATAATTTTTCTCAGTTATCCTTCACAAGCTCGTCAATGTACCACAGTATGAGAAAGTTTTATGGGTCCACATTCATAAAACTTTCTCGTACTGTGGTACCTTGACGATTCTCATATAGTCATATTCTCGGCTTTGAATATTGTTACAATTTTATATCAAAAGATATGTGTGAGTATGCGTTGATGAGACCACAGTCTAAAGACACAAACACCTAAAAGACACTGAGGTGTCGCATAGAGTCTAAAAATGATTGCATACATTTTTAAGAGACTTTCAGATTTCTGGGTACATATTTACTCTTTTAGAAGCCCGGCCTTTGGTTTTAATGGTTACTGCAGATTTATAAATAATCATATCGAATGTAGTCTAAACATCTTCTTATACTTTGGATGCATTCTGAAGATAAAGCCCTCTTCTTGGTTTGGTGTTACATTAGGGTCAATTTACTGTGGTATGCTTTCATTGAAAACTGTTTTCTTTTGTCTTTTATTTACCTTTTTATCTTTATTGGTATAGCATGATTGTAAAGATTATATGTGCTTTCCAAAATCGATAGCATGTATCCCTCGTAGTTTTCAAAAAACACAAAGACCATAATTAGAACTTCAAACTATGTTTTACCTTGTTCACATTTAACACCAGTCCACCCATTTGAACATCCTAATGTACAAAGCCCATTTGCAAGGTCACATGGTCCATGACAGTTTTTTGGGCATGATGTATTACAGAGGGAACCATAATGTGTAGGAGGACAACCAAAAAGACACAACGTAGATGAAATAATTATGTTAACAATATGATAACTCAATTACCTGTAACTTCTTCTGACTAACAGTTGTATTAGTTACTTATTCTATTAAGTTGTGGTGATTTTGGGACTTTTTACGTTTGAGTATGAAAACAACTAGTAAGAAATATCATAATACTTCCATAAAGCGTACACAAGTTAATGTTCATATTGAATATGATAAAAATGCAAATATTGGCCGTACCTTGCTCTTGAAAATGCATGTTCGGATTTATTTGTGTTTAAAGGTTTATGTCTCAAATTCGTATACCCACACCTTTTTGTAACTACATGAATTAAATCCTGTATTTCCTCATAAAAACACGGAGCTGGATGATTGATATCATATGTGGTTTAAATTTTTCGACAATGTTATGTTTCAGTGATATTTTAAGTAAAACCTTTACCCTAAAAACCTTCAATATAAATTCAATCATGATCAATAAGCAGTCGAGACCATTCAGTTTGTGCGCTCTTGTATAAATTAATAATATGTCGTATTTATTTATGATGAAAGACGCAAGTGGAGATTTTTGGCCATTTGCTTTGAATTCTTTGACAAATTTTCTTTAAAAATTTCAGCACAGTATAGTTCCAACAGCTATGTTACCAGTCGAGATTCTACTTCGACAAAATTATTTCTCCATTATGCCACTTAACGTTTTCAATTGTGAAATTTAAGCCATTGTAGGGATGACGCGCTGTCAATTTAGCTTTCGAAAACCTATCAATTTATCCACATAGGATCATTTCGTCCTTACATGACACATGTGACAGTTGTATTTTAAAAGACAAATGTATCTACTAGCTAGTAAGCATCATTTAATGTACTTTTAGGCCTTTTCTCAACTTAAAAATATAATCTGATCGGTTATCAGGGGGGATTTTGAAAGTTAAGAAAACTCTAAATAAAATAAAATCAAATTTGATATTTTGTGGGCAGTCTAAACATTTTCAGAAGTTGAAGACTGATTACCCTAGATACCACACGCAAAAAAAACATTTTTTAAGTTATGCATAAAAAAAAAATCCACAAGTAAATTCGGTCGTCAAGGGCTTTCTGTAAAAAAAAAGGCGGTGTTAGTGAACAGAGTATCCGACTTTTTTTTGATACATTCCATAAATAGAATAATTAATATATCTAAATTTTAATTGAAAAATAGATGAACAAAAAGAAAATAGAATACAAGTTTAAAAAATATCTCAATTTTAACATTTGCAGTAGCACGAAGCTTTTTTTTTAGCTTGTTATCCAAACACACCTACTATGTTATTATGACTCATTAAAAAGGTATTTCAACTGACCCACATACTTTATTTCTTGGCATTTTGAATTTTCAATGATATTATATCAATATTTAGCCTAAATATATAAAAATAATTGAGTCTGAACCGAGATAATTGTATCAAATATTTTTGCTTTATACGTTTTCAAGTCAAAACAGTCAACCCAAACGTGCCTAAACATAAAAAAGGTGTACCAGACTTCTCTTTTCGATGAGATTATTGCCCATTTTAAGAATTGTTTTTTCCAACAAAATGTTGCCGGGGACAGCGATGCAATTAAATGCTTTTAAAAGATCAACCTTTTATGTGCGTGCTGAAGTGTGAAAACTCGCATTAGTACGAGTACACAGTATATATATTACTAGAAAATGTGGCCGGGTTGTATGGATTATTAATTCGTGCAGAATAATATAGACTAAAGTATTTTGTTCGTCAAAAAATTACTGAATGCATGAGTAAAGGATAGTTAAAACTGTAAACACAACGTATAGTATAGTTAATATAATAGCTTTACTTTTTTCATAAATTGACACAGTGACACAATCATACAGCATCTTCTAATTTTTACATCATAACATACTAGTCAGTATACAGACAAACATCAGAATGTTATAAAAGAATTAATGTAAGTGCATAATATTTATTTTCCATTAAAACTTAGTTCGTAGATGAGTGCAATAAGGTATCCTTAAAGCATTCGCAAAATATGTTTGACTCCCTATTCCGAAAAGTTCCAATTTAAAATAAATATCTTAACACGACAGGTTTGTTTTACAATAACATGTATAATGAATTTCCTTCTACGGAAAATGTGCAGATCCGTATTAACGTCTTTTTCATAAATCGTGCTTTCAAAACAAAACAAAACCGGGTCCTATGTAAAGACAAAACCGGTTCCTGATGTAGTAAACAATATTGACAAAACCGGATCCTTCCATTGTGACATGACTCATTTCTTTCGTTCCATGCATAGAACTACAAATATTGAGGTTTCTTGAAATCTCCTTTTTTATATAAGGTTCACTCAATTCATCGTTTTGACGTGCATTCATACTTATTTATCCATTAATATAGAACCGTTATAGTAAATATTACATCTCACAATCGAACATAGGTATATGTCTAATTATATTCTTCAATTTCATAAAAATGACAAATAAATAAATAGAAATCCTACTTTTTCTATGTCTGTTGGTTGTCTGTCACCGTACCAGATATTAAATACTACTAGTATTGAGACGAAACTTTTTTGACGGGGAACTTTAGACACAGTGGTTTATTAGAAGCCTATAATGAGTCAATTAAAGGTAACCCAACCGTTAAAAAGGTTTGGACACAACTCGGAAGAATGACGAAATATTCGAAGGACAGGCTGATTGAAAACCCATAGAACAACCATTCTGCTAATTTAGTGAAAACGACCGAAATTCCTTAGCAGTCAAACTAAAACCATATAAGCGGGGAAAAAAAGAATAGCCATTTTTAGCATGTACAAACAATTTATTTATTCCAAGAGCAAGATTTTAACGTGAGGGATGGACAGTTCGTAAAGAGTTTTGGTAATAAAACAAATCAAGACAAAAAAAAAAAAAGAAAGAAAAACCGTATGCAAGGTTTTGTTCAGAGTAGAAATATCAAATTTCAAAAAAGGATGCGAGGTGATTACAAGAATATTGTATAAAATTATAACCCAAATTTGTTTAATAAAAATCAGGTCCTACTTTTGGAGGATGTTGCAATGGAGATGCAAAAAGAAAAAGTAGTTATATCTGATAATCAATAGAAATTACAATCTATGTTAGATCTTTTTTGTGTACTTTAACGTTATGCTTTTTTTTTACAGATTTTCTGTATGTCTCGACTTTACGTAAAAATTCATTCTGGTAGATGCATTCATGTACAAAACATATTTTGCGTTGATGAAAAAACTCACCATAAATCCCTATTTCACATATTTCAAGTTCAGAAGGTTGCCCATGATCTGGATAAAATATATATGTTAAGTATCTGAAAACGGCGTTAAATTTAATCTCAGTAGGCAAAGATCTTCCATTGTATAAAACTGTTCCTATATTCCAGGAATTACTGTTATTCAAAGCGTAAACGATATGATGACCCTCCTTTCTAGTACGTTCTAAAATAATAAAAATAAACGTTTCAGTTTGGACTGACAATACTGTAAACTGTATACCATGTCCAAAACCACACCAAGATCTTATAATCGAAAAAAAGAAGATATCAATGGAACTAGAGTATAGCATAAGGATAAAATGGGAAGGCACCATAATGGTCAAAAACTGAAAACTTAATCCTAGAAATCTACACTTTCCAACTGAAACAGGCAGTGAAAATTAGTAACTAGTGCCTTTTTTACTAATTGCATCTGCTTCGTTTATCAAAATAAGTTAAAATCCTTGTAGGAAACACAAGGGTTTTAATGTAGTATGAACAACGAGAATTATAATCTAAATGTAAGTGTGTTTGAATCTGTCTACATACGTATACAGATGGAAAAATATCCATGGAGAATGTTATTCATTCCATTGTAGTCAACTTTGGTTGCTTGACGATTTGGTTGTCGATTTCTAGTTGGTAGTCCTGGGGTAAATCAGATCTTTATAACACTGTTATCTTAGATATATCTTTTTATCAAGTTCAAAGACATGGATTTGATAAACTTAATCACAAAGTTTTTAAAAATTATTCTGTACATTTGTTTCATAGAACACACTATAATATATGATATATAATATTGGTTAGCATTGCAAACATACATTATAGCAGTACTTATTAATTGGCATTGGTATGCCCCTTTCTAAATAATACATAAAAAGGATTTACAGGAGTCACCAACAAACTGGACAGTCCAATACAAATAAACTTTAAGACTTTCGTGCTTCCGCAGAGTATTGCTAGATGTACCTTCCAAAAGATGTACAAACAAAGCCTTTCCTTTATGAATAAATTGACCAGTCCACATGAATAGGAACATAAAAGGTTCAAAAGCTAGTGTTTTTTGTCAGTTAAAACATCAATAATAATATTAATAATAATTAAAAAATAATAATAGTAATAATAGCAATAATTAGTTCAGGTACCTGTCGTGATCTTGATCTGTGCTGAGAGGCTTACTGTGGCTGAGATAAAGAACAGCAATAAAAGCGCTGTTCCTTTGCTTTTTACGCATTGAAAACATAATCATTATACAGAAAAAAATATCAGCAAGACAAGAACTAAAAATAAGTTAAACGACCGATATGGTTGGTCTTCTCTGTATAGGTATTACATGTATTCCCCTAAATGACAATTATTACCAATGTTATGGTGTTTGCATGTAATCTTTAAAACCATAATGATTAAGAAAAACATCAAAAGCAAACATTATTAGCAGGACAAGAACTACAAATTTGTTGGTAATGCCAGTACCGTCTGTTGATTACTTACAGGGGTTATTGCCCCTTAAAAAGAATTTTGCAAAACTGTAATAGATAAAGAAAAATGTAAACTGCAAAAATAATAAGCAAGACAAGATCTACAAAATTATACATCAGCATAGCGGGAATTGTCAGTCAACTCCTCAAATATGTTGTTGCTATTAAAGGATGATTCTTACATGTACCAATTTTTTTGTTTTTTATCGTAAGCTTTAATAGTTGGGACCATGATCAGTCTTTAGTTTTCTATGTCGTATTTTGTAGAAAGTTTTTGTATTTTGGTTGTTTTTCGTTTATTTGCTATGCATTGTAAGTTTGTTTTCGATTTATAGTCTGACTATCCCTTTGGTATCTTTGCCTCTCTTTTAGTTGTTTTAGTCTGTTGTGTTCTATGTATGTGATGTATGTTTACACAGTTTTGGCTGCTGATCCCAATTTTTGTAATATTAGCCTATTATGTCTGATAGGGTTGCTTACCAAATTTTGTCAATATAACGGAACTGTTAAGAACTGTCATACAAGTGGGAGCTTCAACTAGCTATAAAAACCAGGTTTTACCCACAATTTTCTTCGGAAAATTCCTGTACCAAATCAGAAACAGTTGTTTTTCACTTGTTCTGTTGATTGATATATAGTGCTTGATTTTGTCAGTTTTTATTACTACAAACTCCTCAGAGTCTGAAAAGACCATATTTTGTGCTCGATCAAATCGAATATAGATTAAAATTTAGAAAGCTGTAGAGTTTTATGAAAATCCAAATTGATTTGAAAAAGTTATACAAATTTTAAAGGTGTTTATCTGAATTTAGTGTGAACTGAAAATTCTAGCGTTTTTTACCTATAAATTAAATCCTAAAATTTTGACAGCAATAGACCAAACTACCAAATAACCTGACATTCTGTAAGATCAATATATAATTGAGATAGCTGTAGACTTATATGAAAATCCAAGTTGAACTGAAAAAGTTTTAGAAATCTTTAAAGGTGACTATTTGAATTTAATCCGAACTGAAAATTCTAGCCTTTTTTTTTTACCTATTAATTAAATCTTTAAATTTGACAGCAATGAACCTAACGACAAAATTACCTGGAATTTTGTAAGTTGGTCGAGACTGGTCGAGACTGGTCAAGACTAATCGAGACTCGTTGAGACTGGTCGATCATTTGTCGAGACCATATTCAGACTATAATAAGATTATAAAGTACTCAATTGAACTTATTAAGTAAAGTCGAGACAAAAGTCGGATACAGTTAAGTACTGTCGAGATTGTGTCGAGTCTTGTCAAGTAAAATCTAAATATGGTCTTTTCAGACTCTGATAAGTTTGTAGTGTATGGACTTCCCCTTTTTGAATTTTTGTTATCCTTCTTTAATTTTTACAGTTTATTTAGATTATTTGGAGTATAAATAAAACAATAGTGTGTTCGACTTTCCAAACTTAATTAAGCTTGCACCGATGCCATTTTGATAGTTTTCATCTTTCAAATAAAAGTTTGAACTGAAAAACGAATTTTTAAAAAACCAAGCAAATTTAATCTAACATATATCTGTACTCTTTTTTATATCCGTTACTGAACAGTCGAAAAAATGGCAAAAATAACGCAATAAACACATAAATCAGAACAAAAAGTACTTTACAGAAAAAATTTAAAGAAAACTCTTTTCAAACTGTAAATATATTTCAAATATTCTTAGTAATAAATGACGAAAAAAAAAAACAACCACAAAGTTGTAACTAGGATGAAGAAAGACATATATGAAAGTTGCATCACATCTGTTGTGTAAATATACAGTAAGCAATTATTAGTAATTATAATTATTTACTATTAACGTACCACCAAAAGTTACATACATTCCTTTTCCAATGCTTATTTTTTTAATGTCAACCTGAAATGTTACATTAAGTCCCTTTGTTTTAGAGCAAGATGTTTTATTTCCATCATTTGCTAGACTAGCCGGTGGGTCACCAGTGGGATGTAGAGAGAGACTGAACCGTCAGATGCCATGTTATCTGTGATGAGAAGATGTAAATAGTATGATTCCTTTCGTTTTAACTGAAGGTGATATTTGCAACAAATAACAGGAAAAAATACGTCTTAACAGATGATACATTACAATAACGGCCCTCTGACTGTAACTGTTTTATTATACAAAACAAATACATTGTATGGGGCGGGGAATAATAGGGTTATTAACCGGACGGTACAATTTGTCGAGGTTATTCACCTGCCCAGTCGATTTGGACGAAAATATCCTATTCAAATCACGCCACGTGATCTTTTTTTAGCCAATAGATTTATTCAATTATACTGTGAGGTATAATAATATGCCATAATTGTCTTTTTGTGTGTGTTATTTACTATAATTTCAATCGGCGAAGTGAATATCAGTTTTTCAAAAGTAAATTATACAAAATATTTATCGAAATAAAGAAAAGAGTTGTTTAATTAAATGATAAGGACAATCAGCATCACATGTTTAGAAGGTCAATTGTTGTTACATTTACGGGTTTCGTTATTCTAAAGTACGAATCTCATCGTAGATTACTGCGAATTGAACTACTTTTTTTCTCTAAAATTTATTCCTCTTTTCGTCATCTATACTTACAAAACATGATGTCATTTATTTTGATTGACCGATGTTTATAGGGGAATTTTTAATTTCCAAAATAAGCCACTTTGACGTTGAAAGTACGATTCATTAGTACATATTCTTCTTAATTCAAAAGCCGTTCTATGCAACTTTTGTAATAGATTAAACCAAATTAAAGCTATCATTGGATAAATGTTATTGTTTGTCTATCACATAAACCTGCATGTTTTTACATCTAATAGTTATAATTTATCTTCCACTGTTTATACATTTTGCACATAGTATACGTCAATAATATAAAGACAAATTACATAATGATATTACTTAGTACGTATAATTTTATTTACAATTACTTACACTCGTTACAATAGCGTCCAGTCTGTCTTTTCTTACAACCGTCGGTACAGACTGCCGTATCCTTATTGTAAACATCATTTAAACAGTTTTTAGGGTTACACCCCCAAACACAAGAACCATTTCCAGGATAACAATTTTGCTCCAAACAATTGTCAGCACACACATTCTCGCATTTACTTCCCCAATGATTCTTTTGGCAACCTTAACAGAAGCATACTTCAACCGATTATAAATGCATTTACAAACACATTTAATACAAGATATCAGTAAACCATTGCATACAATAATGTCGTTTATTGAAATTCATCTTTTTAATTTTTGTTGCAGAATAAGGTTTTCAGTAAAAAAAAATGGTTAAAGAATAGTTCGTTCTAGAAGACCATTCGTGATTGTGAATGATGAAACATGTTGCACAACCAGCAGCTATAGATCAACGCCAAAAATTGATGGTCAACAATGTAAACAAACTTTAAAGACTTGAAACAATCAAACAAAAACTTAAAGAATACTGATGTATAGACAAGGACGAGAGACTTGTGGAAAATGAAAGTTTTTACGTTTATACACATTATTAACGACTTACCATTAATGGCAACGTAACATAACTCAATTATAGGTCCGTAGACATATTTTCCTTCATCAGTTCCTTTATCATCGTAATAAATGACATATTTTCCAAGTTGATTACATGGTATTGTCTGAGTGAGGTTTGGAAGACCGGGATCAGGATCTTCATAACAGAGATAACCGTCAGGTGGAATAGTTGATGTATTGGTTACATATAATTTGAATCCATTCATTCGAATAGCAACTGTAATTAAAATTATACCAAAATTAGTTTTAAAGCTTTGTCAGCAATATTAATTAACATCATTGGCAATTTGTATAGCAAACATGTATCTTATTACTTACAGTTATTAGTTTTCAAAGGACATAATTTAAAGAAGCACTGTTAATCTTGTTGAAAAAATCAACAATGCAGAGTGTAAAAAGTTAACTATGCATGACAAAAATTCTTTAGACGTTTTAATCATTCAAAAATACTTCATTACAGTAGAATATCTAGGAATTTTTGGGGTAGTCCTTTTGGGGATAGCTCTTTTGGTGTTTTACTTTGGGAAGGACGGTCCGTGTATATTTGCGTCCATTCGTTTTTCATTTTGAAATATCAAAAACAAAAAACAAAAAACGAGAGTGTTTTCATTTTTCGTTTTTGATTTCTCTAAAACCAAAACGGAAAACGCAAGTGTTTTCATTTTTTGTTTTTGATTTCTCTAAAACCAAAATGAAAATCAAAAGTGTTTCCGTTTTTCGTTTTTGATTTCACTAAACAAGAATTTTGTATTTAATTTTAATTATTTCTCGTTTTATAATGTAAGTAGTGGAGAAAACCAGAGTTCTGGGCCACTTTGTCTAATGTTAAACTTATGGGAGGGATACCCATGAGGATACCCAGTGAGGATACCCTCTGACGTCATAATCACCTATTATGACACTAATTAAATTAATTAATTAATTTCTTTGGATAAGGTCATTTTAAAGTGTTACTAATTCATTGGTGTTAATTATGCATAAGTATATGATTTTTATTTTTATTTTAATTTGATATATGAAAATCCCCAGTCTATTAATAGATATACAGGTAAACCCATCTAAGTGTGTATCAAATATATATTTGTTTGTTTATATATCTATTCACCTACGGCTGTGAAGAATAAGACGTACACGTTATTATATAAATAATATAATCGTTAAATCAATATTGAAAGCGTGTTTTAACTTGTCGTTATTGTACGTATAGTGACCTTTAACATGTTTAGACGTGTCTTTTTAATATAAGTAAATCGTTACATTAATGGAACAAAATAGTATTTTACATCTAACTATTTCTGGGGTGAAATTTTGAAAGGTATTTAATCTTGAATTTTATAATATAATTGTTCAATCAATATCGATAGCGTGTTTTAACTTTCAATAGGTTTTATTGATAAACGATGCACCGGTGTTTATCATTGTTAGTGTTTGTGTATGTTTGTGTGTGTGTGTGTTTGTGTGTATCGATTCAAGGTTTAATCCATACAAATATGAGCAAGGAATTATCCAATATGATTCTCCTTTTGTGTGATTGTATTCCTATTTTATTTATTTTTTTAAGTTTCTGCTTCTCGGTACCACACTAGTAATGATAACAACAATAATTTGTACAATATTTAATATCCGCGTCAATTCAGACAGACATGGCTCGCGGAGCCATCCACATGTTGTCTTTACAATATATATAAAGAATAAAATTATCTATAATTATTTTATACATCGAGATAAAAAGAAATAGAGAGTTGCATATCACTCAACAGTATCTCTAACCTCACGAAAGGGCCAGCAGTATGCTATATTTCGTGCAGGGGTGTAAACTGTCGAGACTTGAAGTTAGTCTTTCCGGGATAGTTAACTCTCTCAAATATCAGATAAATCGCGAGCTTTAATCCAAGAGTTGAATTTCTTTGGCCAGTGTAACCATTTAACAAATATTGCTTGTTGGGTCCTTTGCCTTTTGTTTTGAGGATGTTTTCAACTTTCCATATATCATCTTCCCGAACATCCACTTTCTGCACTTCTGATTGGTAGAAGGTTCCTGAAATTTCTTCGTCTTGAAAATCAATAAGTCGATAAACTGGAAGCCCACCACGTAATATTCTTTGAGATATTCTAAATATCTCTCCGCTCCATTTCTCATCGTATTCCCTGGTAAAAGGATTTCTTATGTATGTTATCCGAACTTTATCACCGATTTTGAAACGGAAAGGTTTTCGTACATTCTTTGTCTTAGGTTGTAATCTTTTTGGCCAATACATTTTCCACCACAGGTTTGTCTCTTTAGATAGGGTGACTTTATCTGGTGCCATGCCAATCGTTCTATGGAAGGTCTTGTTGTAGCTGTTAGCAAAATTCTGCAAGTTATCCACATAATCATAAGATTGCTTACTGGTGATAAATCTCATGATTTTTGATTTAATAGTCTTGATCACTCTTTCAACGTAATTAGCTTTGATTTCCGTATTTTGTGCAAATAGATGTTGAATATTTCTCTGTTTAAGGAGAGATTCTACTAATCGTGATCTGAATTCTTGTCCTTTATCTGTTCTTATTCTGTTTGGTGATCTTCCTTGTGATAAAACATGTTTCAAAGCATTCGCAACGGATTCACCTTTCTTATCCTTTAGAGGCCTTAGCCATACATATTTGGAGAATATATCAATCACCACCAATATGAAATTGAATCCACTGTTAAATTTCGAAAATATAGACATGTCCATTAAATCGATATCCCATTGATCGTCTATTCCAATAACGATAACTCTGTTCCGCTTAAACGACCGTTTTAAAGGTCTTTGCAAGCTGTATGGCTCCTGTCGTTGTAGCCATTTTCGTATTCTATATTTACTGAGAACGAATTTTCCATCTGTTCGAACAAATCTGTAAAGCTTATCAGGCCCTGCAAAACTCGCTGGGTTAGCTGGATTGTAATAAATATTTCTCAAGTACTTTTCCCAAGAGGCCATCTTTACACATGGAATGATGAATATAGAATGACATACAGAGTAAAACGTTCTCATATTTATACAGTTGAGCTTTCATCGTCTACATCCTCCTCCTCCTCCTCCTCCTCCTCCTTCTCTTCATCATCATCATTACTATCTGTGCTTTCAGAACCATCATCATTTGTTTCGTTATCAATAGCTTCATCTAGATAGCTTTCCAACAAAGGTTTATATTTCCTGATGGCTACTTTAATGGCTTTCTCGTAGTACATGTCATCGTTAAACAGTTCTGTGATCTTTTTCATGACTTTGCCGTGCAATTTACCATTTTGTAGTTGTAGTAGATACTGAACCAAACTACTATATCTGGACAAAAACTGATCCATATCCTCGTCTTTTAGTTTGCGATTGGCCTTACGTCTTGCATGGTCTTCATTCATGTTACCACCCATGTATTTATCAACTTTTTCTTTCCATATATCTTCTTTTGCCTCTCTGGCAAGTTCAGCTAATTTTATAAAAGCCACATCTTCTCCATCTTCTATATCAATTTCGTCTACACGAGACTTCTTGAAGGGAATGTCTTCATCCTCTTTTTCCCTTTTTCTTTTTAAATCATTATTTTCCGAGCACCACCTATTCATGTGTCTAGCTAAATCAGGGACGCTTTCAAAGACTACACCACAATCATCACATGAAGGCATGATTTTTCTCTCGTCTGGTAAATACGTCTGCTCACTTTGAAATGTTTCTTCAAACTGAGGTGGTTCTAGTTCTTTTCTGCTAATATACTCTTCTGAAACACCTCCACCAATCATGTTCTTATTTTCGAATATATTAATTTTTAGTCTGTCGTCTTCTGGTGTATTCTGTTTCAGATCAATGAATAGGCTCCCATACGGTCGTTGTGTCCCCTCTTTGTACTTATTCATGAATTTCTTTGGATTATTAGGATACATCTGTCTAGCAAATATGGCTGGTCCAACTTGATCACGCGGGTTTTTGAAAAGGACTATATACTGGCTATTGATGCTCATGGTTCGACTCTCCTTTCCCTTCGAGAACGCATTCTGCATTATACAAGCTACACTTAGGTTCCTGTGATGGCTGCCCTCCACAAAGAGTTCACAAACATCCTTACTATTGGTGGCGTCTCTCATTAAATCGTCTAGGATGATTAAACTTGGATATCTAGAGTCTATGAATGAGTCATCATTCAAATTTTCAGGTAAACCTTGAACAAACAAAATGTTTTTAATGGTCTGCTTCAGGTCACTAAATAATGGCTGCCACCGTTTATAACACCATATAATCCTATCAGGTGATGGTTTTATCATAGTCCGTGCTCGCTCCAATAATGTTTGCTTCCAAAACGTCTTACCTGAACCAGTAGGTCCAGCCAATATCATAGTGAACGGATGATGTAGTACCACATGCTGTGGTGGTGGTGGTGGTGGTGGAGGTGGTGGTGGTGGTGGTGGTGGTGGTGGAGGTGGAGGTGGTGGTGGTGGTGGATGCGCATGACTGCTCGGTGGATACGCATGACTGCTCGGTGGATACGGATGACTGCTCGGTGGATATGGTTGATTGATTTTGTGTTTTTTCCTATAATGTCTCAACATAGCATCTTTTCTCGAAAATTCTTTACCACAATCTGGACAAGTATTAGACATCTTAGAGAGCTCTTAAAACACGTCCTCTTCCTTCAAATGATAGACGTAGAGTGATTGAAATATTGACGGTACAGAATTTTCGAGAAAAGATGGTATGTTGAGACATTATAGGAAAAAACACAAAATCAATCAACCATATCCACCGAGCAGTCATCCGTATCCACCGAGCAGTCATGCGTATCCACCACCACCACCACCACCACCACCTCCACCACCAACACCACCACCACCACCACCACCACCGCAGCATCTGGTACTACATCATCCGTTCACTATGATATTGGCTGGACCTTCTGGTTCAGGTAAGACGTTTTGGATGAAAACATTATTGGAGCGAGCACGGACTATGCTAAAACCATCACCTGATAGGATTATATGGTGTTATAAACGGTGGCAGCCATTATTTAGTGACCTGAAGCAGACCATTAAAAACATTTTGTTTGTTCAAGGTTTACCTGAAAATTTGAATGATGACTCATTCATAGACTCTAGATATCCAAGTTTAATCATCCTAGACGATTTAATGAGAGACGCCACCAATAGTAAGGATGTTTGTGAACTCTTTGTGGAGGGCAGCCATCACAGGAACCTAAATGTAG